GCTTATTAGTCCCTCTCTAATCCTATAAATAGAGGGCTCATCTAGTCTTGTATACACATCTTATATAATACCAATTCGGTTTCACACCATTTACAATATTCTTCAAAATAGACAACTAATCTCTCTAGATTTTGCATTGCAATATCAAGAAGCATATCTTTGGACTATAATTTCTTACTAACTAAATTGATTCTATTTGAAACTTCATGCCAAATAACCAAACTTACAATAAATCCAAAACTTGACAGCTCACCATTTACCAAAGATTCGACATCCCTACTAACTTTTTCATCCTCACTTACTTGAGCTAATTGTATTAAAACATCTTTAATTTTGCCAACTTGAGTTTTAATAGCTTTAACACTTTCAATATGACTTTCCCAACGAGTAGTAGATAAAGATTTTAAAGTCAAAAATCGTCAATATACTCTAATAAAACAGTCCCTCATTGTAGAGTTGGAGAACACATTGTATGTTGTTTGACAAGTACCAAAAAAGGTTTTTGCTCTGTGACAAGAATTTGTCATATCACATAACACTATATTAAGATTGACAACTACATGGCATATAAAAGGCTCTAGGGTTTATATCAAGTAATTTTTTTTGCACATGTTGATGTTTCCTTTTCATACTAGACCCATTGTCATACCCTTGTCCCCGCACACAATTAATATCTAAATCAAATGATTTTAGAACATCTTGTAGTACGTTAAGAAGTCCTAAACCGGATGTATTTTCCACAACCAAAAACTCTAAAAAGAACTTTTTGACTTGTATAGGAGAACTTGTCACATCAACACATCTTATAATTAAAGTCATTTGTTCTTTATGGCTTGCATCCGGAGTACAATCAAGAATAACTGAAAATACTTTGCCTTTTTGGTTTGTTTAATGATTTCATTCTTTACATCAGATGCCAACATTTCTATCAATTCATGTTTTGAATTTTGTGGATAAGATAATGCTAATGAGGCTTTGTGTCTTTGATAAGCCGAAAATGTTGTTTCATAAGAGGATCAAACTCAACAATCATTTGAATTATGCCTAAAAAATTTCTATTAGACTCTTCGTAAAGTTTTTCATTTGTTCCACGAAAAGCTAAATTATACTCTGTTAGGCATTTCACGGCAACAATTATTTTAACCAGAATTTCTTTCTACTGACCAGTATATTTTTTTTATTAATTCTTGCAACCCTCTATTAAGTGTTTAATTTTTATTCAACCTCAGTCGCAACTCTGACCAAAACTTTAAATTAGTCACATGTTCCGGACTATTTTCATGAATGTTTATTCTTTGACCAAGTTGTTTCCAACAGTCTAAACCTTCACTTGCTAATTGACTGTTTTATCGACCATCTTTGAAAGGCTTACAACAAAAACATAAGACTTTATCTAGCTCTTTTGAATAAATGAATGTCTATCTATCATAACAATCACTGTTTCTTAATTTACGAACATAATATTCACAAGAGAAATGTCTACCTACTTTATCTTTTGAAAATATGATGTTAGTTTCTCTAATAGGCCCTTTTACTTCAAGTAAGTCTTTCATTTTTGAATTTAATCCATCCCAAACTCTTGGATCAAATATATTCACACAAATATCATCTAGAAGAGGATTTTCTAATCACAAGCATTTTCAATGTTTTCATCATCTATGGTTTCATAATCACAGGCATTATCAATGCTTTCATCATTACAAGCATTACCAAAACATTGATATGAGAGTTTAGTTATTGTAAGTTTGGTTATTTGGCATGAAGTTTTATATAAAATTAATTTAGTTAGTAAGAAATTATAGTCCAAAGATATGCTTCTTGATATTGCAATGCAAAATCTAGAGGGATTAATTGTCTATTTAGAAAAATATAAGGAAATGGTTTTACATGTGCTATCCAAGATAATATCAGAGTTGAGCCTGGATTTGCTTTAAAACGTTTTCTTTCCAAAAAAAAACAATTTGATGAAATTCCAAATACCGAGAGAGAACAACAATCTGCTCAAGAGGCGTTTAGAATTGATTACTTTCTTGTTTTAGTTGATATGGCTATTTCTCAGTTACGAACTAGATTTGAACAAATGAAAAAAATTTGAATCTATTTTTGGCTTCTTGTTTGACGGCTGAAAGTTAGTTAGTTTACATGATTGATGAGTTGAAAAAAATGTTTTTTGGATCTTGAACTTGTTTTTAACAAATGATGATAATTCTGATATCGATGGGCAATATTTGTTTATGGAGTTACAAGTTTTGAAGGGTATGTTACTGGAAGAGGCATTTGAGAGAGAAAATTCTTGGACATCCATACAAAGTATTAAGTTTGCAAAGAACTTGCTTATAGGATTTTTCTGACCATACTCGATACTGTAACATCTGTGGGAAGAAGCTTTTCGAAATTAAAGTTGTAAAAGTCATATTTGCGTCTGCCATGACTCAAGAAGGATTGAACGGGTTAGTAATTTTGAGTATTGAGAGTAAGTTTTTAGCAAATATTAACTATGTATTTTATGTTCCGTTATACGGGGTTTTGGATTGTATCACTTTTGCTATATCTAATAAAAATCGGCATAGGGATGAGCCGCCTAGCTTGACTAGGTTTCAAACCCCTTCAAATATAAGGGGCATTTTTTGGCACTTGCCTGCTAAAACTGTCCACACCACGTCATGCGACTTCATATGCGACCCCAGGTTGCATATAAGTCCCTGCTACAACCCAATGTGCAACAGAAACCTCACATCGTATGGCCAACTCGCATGGGTGGTTGTGCGAACTGTATCACCAGAAATCAACAGACAAGCAGAAGTTCGCATACAAGCATAACTTTGCAGGCGGATAACAAATATTGAGTATCATCTTATCAACATGAAATGAGTTTCCTGAAGTTCACTACTTCAGGGCTTGACGGAAGATGTTGGTAATTTCTTTTGCTTCTCTAACCCTTTTGGAATGTTCTTATATATGTGAGGATATATTATGAATATCTATTTCTTCATGATGCTCTTATTCTGTTGGGACGTACTTTTTGGCTGTTTGTTAAGCTTTTTATTTATAGAAAGTTGGAATGCTTGCTAACTGGTTTTTCGACACTTGAACTCATTTTTTCTTAAGCCATGAGGAATATGGTCGCTTGCTTCCATGCCCTGCCGAGAATGTTTTACCAAGAAAAATTGAGCACTTAGTTGTTAAAGAAGGAGGACCTGTTCTTGACTTCATTACCAAAGCTTTGGATCTTCCACCATTGTGAGTTGACATACTCTTGTTCTATTTTCCGTTGTGCTAATTAATTCTAGCCCATGTCAGTGACAGATAGAGATGGACCTAAGAATTTTTCAAGTGGTGGGCACCATTTTGACTATAAGAAACGAAGCTATGGATATTTTTCATAACCCATCATTGGTCTGTTGGTTAGTTCTTTACATTTTGTATGTGAGGTCCTTTGTTAGAGCCTTTTATTGCAATTTTTTTTTTCAAAAACATGATAAACCTGATATTAAGAGCTAAAAACTAAGAATATGATACAAACGTGATTCAAATCTGCGCCAGGGATGGGAGAAAAGTCGTGCAGACCAACTCTATCAAGAGCAATTTGTGTTATCATTAATATATATAATTATTAGAATATAATTTAATATATCATTCGTGTTTTTGTTACAACACGGCAAAAGTCAATAGTTCGAATGAAGAGAAAAAAAAGAAATTGGAGGCTGTACACCTCATTTTCCTGGGATTGTAGTTCAATCAGTCAGAGCTACAAAATATATACGGTTGCACAACAAAATAATATGGTAGCACCTTTCATGACCCCTAAAGTTTTTTGCTATCAGAATTTGTTTTACTAACCCCTGTTTAAATTATAACTATTGTGGTATCTAAAACCTTACATATTTGTTTGGAATAAAATAAGAATTCTGTTCAATTTATAAAAAAAAATCCCATGTACTAAAAAGTCCTTTTGCGGGTGAAACTTGAAACTGAAGACTTAAACGATGTTGAGTGGTTTAGTACACATGCTAAAAGTAGTTATTACAATATTGCTTTGGAGAAAATTCTTTTTCTGGACGGGTTCCAGGCTATGTCCGTACTAATCCAGGCAAATTGTGACTGCAAGAAATCAGCCCTGATAAACACAGTGGCCACAAATGTTGTGTACGCCTGGAATCGAACCTTAGGCAGATGGGATATTCCACCACATCCCCCAGGACCTCAACAACTACACCAGAAATATCAGCAAGGTCACTTGATTCCATAGGATCCATTGTAGGTCTGCATCTATATTGACTAATATGCTTGAACTTTGAAGGTACGTTGCAGATCTTATTCATTTTGGAGCAGTGTACTATGCCCTTGTATGCCCAAAGCCTCCTTCAACTGCCACACCAGAGGAAATCAAGTTGTACAAAGAGTTTACTAATCCGAGAGTCTTAAGAAAGCGACCTTCAATCGAAGGAAAAACCGTGAGAGAGGCACAAAACACTTTTAGGATTACTCATATTGATGAGTTTGTTGAAGTGGGGACATATGTGAGGGTGCATGTACGTCCAAAACGATTTCCAAGGTACTTAGAAAAGAAAACTATATCCTATAATCTTAGTTTCTCATTGTGAAAACTATTGTGGGAGCTCGCCAATTAGTTAAACAATAGACATATTTTAGTCAATAAGTTACTCCATCCCCAACGGACCAAAGATGGAAATATTTGGAATGCATGCAATTATTGATAGACAGAAGAATCATGGTATCCACTTTCGTGGTTGCATCCAAATCTACAACTAATTGATTAGCAAAAATGCAATAATGACCACAAAGAACCATCCTATTTTTGAGATTCTTCATTTTGATAACGTACTAATCATAGGCTTGTGTACATCTTACCCCCAAGACCCTGCTGCCGAGCGGGATATACTGGGGTTGTGTTGCATGGTTTGGTACTTACTTTTTAGGCCGTTAAATGAATAAGCAACACCCTGATGAATTCTATAATGGGAATGTGATGTGGCAATATAATTGGTTTTATAAGATTTATTTGGCAAGAAATCTAAGATTTACAACTTGGAAGTTGAGTTAAAATGATACATTGGCTTATATGATACTCAAACTGCAGGATGTACAAGCAAGTAATACAAAATTTATTTGATTTAACTTCTTCTTTAATTAAAACAAGAAACCTAAGGTACAAGTGTCCAAATCTTCTTTCAAAAAGTATTTTTTTTAACATGATTTAAGGTACAAGTGTCGAAACCTTCTTTCAGAAAGTATATTTTTAACATGATTTCTACACATTTTCAATTAATTCATCTCTTTTAAGTAAGTTGACATGTAATGCCATGTGATTTGGTTTTTGTATTTAGTATAATTATTTGGCATGATAAACGTGTATCATGGTATGCCATGTAGGAGTTCTATCATCACAGTGTTCTTTTGGAAAATCGGGTTAAAAACAGTATCTGTCATGTGCGAAAATTGCAGAAGTAGGTTGATCTTTTTGGTAATTAACCCCAATGATAATGGAAGTTACAATCAGACAAGATAAGAAGTAATCAAAGTATTCGGCTCTTCTTTTCTTTTATTGGGACGTGGGATAAACTCTTAAAAGAGCATATTGGGAACACTTACTTTTTGACAATTCTGATCATTATGAATGCATTAATTCTTTGCCAGATGTTATGAAATTGACTGGAGATCCAGAATAATTGCTGTGACAGAGTCCTATGTGGTTCTCAACAAGCCTGCTGGGACATCAGTATGTGAATCATTTGTTCATCTTGATCTTATCTTATAATTTGCACAACCTTATGCCAAATTTCCAGTAAAATCAAAATATATCCATGTTTACACGCATTTCTGAGTTTTTGGTTCATTTTGGCTTCTTCAGCTATTGCCGTTTACCACTTTCGTTTTGCTACTCTCATTTATATGGTTTGACTAAAAATGAAAATGTGATTTTGGGTCCCATTTACTTGAAAATGGAGAATGGATTTCACTGTGTCACTCAGTTCCCTTGTTTTTTAGGTTGGTGGAACTACAGACAACATTGAAGAAACTTGTGCAACCTTTGCTACTCGTGCCTTGGAGTTAACTACTCCATTAACGACTACTCATCAAATTGATAATTGCACAGAAGGCTGGTATTCTCTCAAGTTTAACTCGAATCATTGGCTATTTGTACTTTCTTGTGTTAATGAGAAGACGGCTAATCTCATCTTGTTTTTCAGTGTTGTTCTAGCTAGAACTAAGGACTACTGTTCAGTTTTTCATAGAAAGATCAGGGTATGTAAATAGTTTCTCTATTAATATTTGTAATATTTATTCTTGACTAGGCCCTTTACACTTCTAAGCGACAACTTTATATTTATTTATTTTCTCGACCAGGAGAAACAAGTGAAGAAGCTTTATCTTGCACTTGCTGCTGCGTATGTGCCATGTGGAGTCATGACCCATTACATGCGACCATTTCGTAGGGCTCCAAAAATTATTTCCAATGGTAAACATTGCCATCTTCATTCAATTTTCTTTTCTCCTTTTGAAATTCTTAATGATATTTGTGTAATTACAAACTTCGGAGAGGGCATGGAATTGGCAACAAAGTTAATCTGAACTTTGACCTGCCATTGACTTTCCGTTTCGGAATAACTCTAGTCAAAGAATGTCAATGCATAATTTATTAGGGTTGCAAGTGAATGAATTGCATATCCTAGTTCTATGATTTTCTTGTATGGAATAATAAATCGACTATTCCCTCTGCTCCAAAATGTTAGTCACTATAGAATTTCATAGATCTTGTTTTCCAACCGTTAAATTTTCTATATTTGTTGATGAAATTTTGTCATCTAAGCAGTGATCTAGTTTCTGTGTTTGCTAAAACGTAGACACATTTGGAAGTTTTCGTGAATTAATTTCAATACAAGCAAATAGAGAAAATGTGTTTAAAGAGGCTTGAAATCTAAACCTTGTTCAAGTCCAAAGGTCAAAATACATCATAGAAAACCTGTTTAAAAAATTTTGAAAATCATAAAATGAAGATCATAAAACCAAGTCTAGTGTTTTCAATTTTTAAAAAACCTTTTACATTTTATTGAACATGAAATTGATTGCCTAAAACCATTTTCTTCATGGTAAACAGATTTTGATATGTTGCAAATTGATGCCTTCACTTTTCTTTAGTCATGCAGCTAATCTACAAGAAATCATATAATAATTTTCCTAAAATATTCCTATCTACCTTTCTATCTCTTATGTTTTCATTCTATGAGCAACCAATAAGCATTACAGCCTTTGCAAACTATCGATCCATATGATATAGGATGGTAAATTGCAAGAAAATTTAGGATTATTTAAAAGTTAGTGTGAATTTCTCCAAAACGAGTGTGCCAGAACCTTAAAAGGACTAACATTTTTAGAACAGAGGGAATACTTTGGATGCATAAATTTAAATTTTTTTTAGCTTTCTTAACTTTTGTTCAACACTAATGATCAATTAAACATGTCACCTATCCTTCAAACATGCAGACTTCATTGAGGAATGGAACCTTTGCCAACTTGAGGTTCTGGAATGCAGGAAAGTTCCCTGGCCAAATGCTTTACTTCAAAAAGAGTATGGAATTGAGGATTTTAATTGGCCTAATAAAGAGTTTGCATATGAGTGCAAAATCAACCTCTTGACTGGCCGTACTCACCAGGTACATGATAGATCTCATGGGTTTTTGCTCCCTTTCTCTGATGCTAAATCAAGGATATAGTTATAGAAACATTCTGTATGAAATATGCTTCATCATTCTGGTGTACTTCTTTCTCAAATTTATGAGTATTACATGTCACTCTTACACCTGATGCTTGAATAATGTATCTTGAAAACTGCAATAGTGGACTTGGAGATGCCTCATAAATTGATCAAAAGCCATCTTTTCATCTTCAAAATTTCAAGCCAAAGTCGCATGTCTTGTCTATTTGTCATCATCCAATGGTATTTTAGACATCTGATCACGATCAAACACTTCTATTGAACTATGTGTCTAGTCAAAGGTTGCAATTTCATGGGATGGAGAGTTCGGTCTGCAAACTAAAATTGATTTAGTAACATGAATCATACTCCCCCTCTTACAAAATAAAAACATTAATATCCATTTATGACATTTCATCGCACAGATTCGAGCTCAATTGGCTGCCTGTGGTGCACCAATAGTGGGTGACTCGATGTATATGCCAGCTGCAATAGCTGAGCTAGCCAGTCCCGGGCTAAACCCTTTTGGGAAGTACAAAAAACAATTTGAAAGTGAAGTCGATAGAGAATGTGGCATCGAAGAATGGGCTGGAAAACATGGGAAGGAACCTGGTGTGGCTATTGGCCTTCAAGCTTGTCAAATTTCATGGGATGAAGGTGAGCACTTCTATGAGGCTGGAGCTCCTTGGTGGACTCAATAGCAAAGTCTAGGATTTGGTTTATGGGGTAACTGATGGAGCTTTGTTGGGCAGATTCTTCTTTACAGGAAGCTTGAGGTCCGTGTTCTTCTAACTTCTAATTTTTTTTAGATGTTGATCTTTTTTTTTCATTTTACAAATTTATTATGACTCACTCCGTTGCTAAAATGTCTATATTTCTAATTATGTTTGACCCTGAATATGTGTCTAGTTTAAAAAATAGATGAGTAAATTCTCAAATCTACCCTTAGAAAATATATAAGAGTTTTGAAGAGAGAGATAAATTAATTAAGGGTAAAGTTGTCTTTTGGTTACCTAAAAAGTGTAATACGTAAAATTGTGTGCCATTTCTATTGTGGACACTTATTTTGGGACGGAGGGAGTATTATTTTAAATGTTGGAGTTCTTATAATGTCTTATTTACATAATCTAAGACATGCAAATGCTTCCTGGACCATGACGGTCGAACTATACATGCATATGCCAATCGAAATTTTTGTTCAAGTTAAGACAACCAATATCGATCAGGTTTCAGTTTTAATTAGTTTAACCGGTTTTTGGACGTGAATGGACTGAAACCCAAAATATAAGAACTGACTATTTGTTGTTGGTTGTTCTAATCAGGTTTATTGGTATTTGTTAGCTAAATTGACTTATGCATATCCCTAGTCATAATACTGATTAAATTAGATAACGAAGTTAAGTTAATATGAGCTTACAGTATATCTAAAGGCACTTTTACCGAGTAATAAGTTTGTACTCCCTCTGTCCATGAAAACCGTAACTCTATTTCATGTATACTTTAACAAATTGCTTGACTATAATCAAATTTCTAAAAAATCATTGATAATGATATAATAAGAGAAACTTTGGATCAAAATTAGTGGTATTAGGAGCTATAATTTATAATTCTGGAGTATAACACTATTCAGGCCATGAACCATATAGATCCAATCGGCAATGGGCTTATGAACTTTAAAAGTTCAAAGTTGCACGAAAAATTGCATTTAGGCCTAAGTTTTGTGACATTAAGTGATTTTCGGCAAAAAAATGTAGAACTGACCATTTTGCCTTGACGAAGCTACTAATGCATATGACTTCCCTTTTAAATGTTTGTATCGACTTCTTCAATTTTGGGTTATGTAAAGTGTTTACATAACCGGAACTACCAGGGATGTCACTCTTGCCTCCATGGCTTTAGGTTGCTTAAATTACCGATGAAATCTTACATTGGTGGGAGGAAGGAATTATAGCCACTTTATCATTTCACATCCCCTCCTTCCAATTGAATGAGATGTAGGAGGGAAACTATGGAGGGAGCATTTAGTGGTATGTTGAGTAATAATATTTATATATTAATTGCACTTAGCATGATTGCACTTGTTGAAGAGTTTTGGCATTGAAGAGTTTTTCTGTCGCATATCATGATGCTGATGACGTACAACGATGAACTGTCCAATAGTCGACTCGACAAAGAAGGGATGAGAATTCATGACAATCTCTGATCTTACTGAAACCTATTGAGAAATTCAAGATCTGTTGTTCCATGTTAAAGTTGTTTATTGGGTGGGTAAATAGAACCATCAATAGATCCAAATAGTTTTTGTCCATATAGATATGGGAGCATCCGTAACTCTCCTACGAGGAGATAATTATCATTTGATAACTCGATTGAGGGTGTGTTTGTTTACCTCTTAATGATTTCATTAAGAGGCAAATGTTTGATTCAGTCACATGTAATCTTGTTTGGCGGCATCTTTTTAAAGCCTATGAATGACTAAATACATCTGGTTTGCTCCATTACCAATCCAACCTGTGTACGATTTAGATGTCGACTGTCCACCCTTTCCCTCACCTTTCTCCTTTCTCTCGCCTCTTCATTCTCTCAACTCCCTCGTTCCTCTTGCCTCTGTTACTGTTGCACCACTATTATCATAACACACCGCCACACCACAATATCACATTGCTGCCCTACCACCAGGTTCAGCCTTTGCTGCTTGAGAAGGTAAAACCCTACCCTCTGCTCTTGCATCCCTTCTTTCAACTGTATGTTCAATATTGAAGATGTGCAACCCTCTGATCTACTTCAACTCTGTGTTGGTGTGAATAAGGGGTTTTTATTTCACATATGGTTGTTCTCACCTCTATGTTCATTATGTTGGTGTAAATAATGGGGTAGGAAACATATTTTCATGTTCAATCTGCTAGAACATGGTAATGGTGGTGTAAACTTGATGTTCAATGTGCTATGATGCATTTCATGTTCAATCCAAGGTTTTAATTGATGTGAGGCATGACGTGTCGGCGAGGTCAATCCTCAAGCCTTACAAGTTGCAACGAGGCCGTGACGTTTTTCAAGGCGTGCCCTAGGGCGGCAATACACACACACAAACACAAACACACGTGTGTGTTAGTGTTTTGAATAGTAATAAAACTATAAAACAAAGAAGAATCATTGATACCAAATATATAGAGCTTATAAAAATGATATCAAGGGTGCAAAGTCGGGACCAAATCTATTGAATCTCAATTCACTACTTTCTTCGATTTTCAAAGAATTCGTGTTCGACTATTCATTTATGGGAATGAGAGTATGTTCCTATTAAAGGCTTTTAGTTGTTATGTTTATTTAAGTCTTAAGTCACGTACATAATTATCATTTATCCCTCGAATTATATTCATTTGAATTTAACAATTGAATTTAGGTGTATTCTTTCCTTAGATCAAAATGGGTCATTAATCAGGAATTTTTCTTATTATATGTTTGCTCTAGTTTTTGTTGTCGAGCATGTTATCCCATTTTTAAATTAGTCAGCAAATGCTAGTTTACCTTACAAAATAACGCGTTGTAACACACCATAACATGTCGTAACACGCCATAACGAGTTACAATAGAAGCCAAGTCTTAGAGTGGAGCCATAGGGGTTAACATGGTGGCAAACCCAAACCTTGATGCCATAACGCTCCATAACGAGTTATTTAGAACCATGGTTCAATCTACTTGGTTTGATTCGGTTTATGCAACTATGTTCAACGAGTTGGTAGTGTTCAATGATTTGGTTAATGTTCAATACTTCTATGATTTGGTAGTGCATGATATACACCCACCAATCTGTTTTACATATAGTAGTAGCCCTGTTGATTCTTGTTTGTAAGTTTCCATTACAGTATCGATACGATTTCTTGCTTCCTTGTCTTTGGTTCAAAATTGTTGATTTATAACAAATTGGTATCAGAGCCATCTTCTCCTGAACAACCATGGTGCCTCCCAAAATTGACGTTGTCGGCCAGAGGGTAGAAACAATGGAAGAAGATGTGGCATGGTTTAGAAACATTTTAGAAGTGGTCTTATCTTGGGATTTTGATAAAATGGGGATTTTACCCACTTGATGATTATTTATACGCAGATGTTCATGTGTTGGATATGGTTTGGTATATCTAGAAGATTATATATATAGATATATCTATAGACATAGAAGTCGGTTTTATTTGGTACGAATGAGATGATATTCCCTAGTTGTAACCATAGGCAACATGATGTGGACTCTTGGAATCGGGCATCGGTTATTGACCAATATGATGTAATTTCTAGTGAACGAGCTTAACTAGGATTTTTGGAGATCTCAAGCTATAGACCTAGTGTGGTTGAACTCGGTGACTCTACATGCAATAGACTTTAAGTAGTTGAGCTTGTTAAATCATTAAACTATAGACCTGAGTGGTTGATCTTACTGAATGTCAATCCGTAAGTGATGCTTATATAACATGGATATGTGACTTACTTTTGTTGTTCCGTCACTATCAATGGTAAATCATCTTAAGATGTAGTGTGCCCTTCCAAGGGCGAGAATGGTGCTAATGGTCTAATTAACTCGATTAAAGCTATGTTTTCGGTTTTAATGTTTTATAGCTTTATTCTTTAACTGTTTGAACTCACTAGGCGTCAACCTAACACTTTTTTAAATAATATGTATATCAGGATCTTAAGGTTGCGGGCCCACTAATGCTTGAGTGGAGTGCTGATTGATGAAGAGTCATTTTTGGGACATCATCTTTTGGAGGACAATTGGAGTTGTGTTATAATAGACTTTTTTGGAGATTATAGTGACACACGATCGTAATCTAAATCTAGAAGCGATTTAGTTTAGATTAGTAGGTTGTTAGCTACCGTCCATTCCTTTGATATAAACTCTTATACATTTCCCCCTTTTGGGTGATTTTATTTAGTTAAGTTTTCGTCATATCGTACAATTTAAATTCTCTCCTATTTTAGGGGCGTTACAAGTTAGTATTATAGCTCTAGTTTAAGTAAACTAGGTATGAACTTAAGATGCCTAGATTTAAGCTGAAACTTTAAGTGACGATTTGTGAGGTGTGGATAGAACTCTTAAGATAAGAGAGTTGTAGAGTCGATGGAAATGCACTAATTAAGAGTTGTGATGATGGTAACGAGAATTCTTATGGTATAATATATTCAAAATTTCATGTAGCTAACATTGTTATGAATATATTGTTACGTGAGCATGCTTGACCCTACCATTATTGCGACGACTGTTGCATGTAATAGTACGATTCAGTTGTTATTCTTATATTAGTGAAAGCTCATATGTTTGTTCTCTTGTATGACAGTCTGAGATGGTTAATACGTGGAGTAGACCGCCAGTCCAAGAAGAGGGACCAAGAAACGAGTGTGATGGCCCCAGATCACACAAGGGGAGCCAAAAACAATGCACTACCCCCCCCCCCCCCCGACATTTTCGTCATCGTTGGGCGGTAGAGTGGATCATGTATCGAGGGTGACATTCGCCTCCTCCAACCCGAGGTGAACCCTTAGAGTGAAATGTTGGCTAGTGTCATGCAAATGGAGTCTGCCATGGAAAACAACATGAAATGTTTGTAAAGATGTTCGAAGACAAAGATGTCAGAGTAACCGAAGGCATGAAACGATTGCAGAGAATGCCTCGTGTTTGAATTATGCATAACCAATTGATAACACGTTTAAATACAATAAGCTTTTGAGCTCTAATAACTAATATGCAGAATACTCTATAAATATAAGATCTTTTAAGACACCAAGAATGTTACTTCTTGTTTCCTAAAATAGATGTCATATTTAACCACAAGGGAGGTGTCTGATTGGTTTGAGCTTGACTCCAAAGGTCAAAAGTACCACGAGGTTCCAGGTTCAAATCCAAGGAGAAATAAAAATCCCCGTGTGGCCACGAAGGTTCAAATGCGGCAGGGGCGGACATGTAGTGTCGGCATGGGTGGCACGTGCCACCGTATTATTTCGCCTCCGAAGGATAAAATTTTTAGGTTTGTTAATGGTGCTACCGTATTTTTCCTGAAATTTTAACAGTGCAACAAAAACCCAAACAAAATAAAGCCCAAATAAAATGCAAAAGCCCAATTAATATCTCCAAATTACAAAACTGTAAAGCCCAAACAAAATAGATTAATCAATAAGGATAAGTAAGCCCAAATAAAATCTAATGGTCCATTGGACTGCAGTATGCTTAAAGCCCTAAGGAGTAAGGCCTAATTCCTAACTAAAGCCCTAAATCGATCACCTGTGCGACCGTGCGTGAGCGACGCGACGACGAAGGCTCTTGAGCGAGTGAGAGCTTGAGGCGTGAGCGACATTGCGACAAGCCGACAGGCGACAACCAGGCGGGCCACCAGGGACAGCGTCGCAACGAGAACGAGAAGAGAATCGAATCGATTCGATTTTGGAACTCGCCACTCGGTACTGACTCTGTGACTCAGAATCAATCACTTATTCGATTTAGGTATACAAATTGATCATTTTGTTTACTGTTTAGTTGATTATTTACTATTTTACTTGATTAATGATTACTTAATTAACTCTTGAAAATACAAAATACAAATTGATCTTAGACTTTTAGTTGATTACTTAGTACTTACTTGATTAGTGATTACTTACTTGATTGTTACAATTGTGAAATTGATCAATTTATTAGTTGATTACTTAGTTTAGTTGATGATGACATGATGTTTAGGTTTCATATGTTGATTAGATTTACTAATTTACATTACTCATTACTGATTACTTATTATTGTTTTCATTACTTAGATTTACATAAGTCATTCATTATGGGAAAATATTTGAAACGAAAAGCTTCATCATCAACCGGTAATAATGATGCATCCAACAATGTGATTGATGTTAACGATGATCCATCCAAAAGACCCAAAATTATAACTTATAACCCAAATCAAAGAGATGAAATTAGACGAAAATACTTGGTAAGGGGTCATTGTCAACCACGAGGTCACATCTTTCCAACCAAAGTTATATGGGCTAAAGGAAGACGGTTTGTTGTTTCTTGGTCTGATCAATTTCAGTGGTTGGAATACAGTGTAAAAGTAGATAGAGCATATTGTTTGCCTTGTTACTTGTTTAGAGACCAAGGTGGGAATCATGGGATAGATGCATTTGTGGCGGAAGGATTTAATAGTTGGAGTAAAAAAGATAGACTTACGCTTCATGAGGGTGAGGTTAATAGTTTTCACCGTAAAGCACTTAAAAAATGTGAAGATTTGGTTAACCAAAACCAATCAATTGCTGTTGCCCTTTGTAAACAAACATAACTCATGAAGACCGAGTACCACATGCGATTGAATGCTTCCATTGAAGTTTGTAGATATTTGTTGGAGAATGCTTTACCATTTGTTGGAGAATGCTCTACTATCATTCTGTTTATAATGATGTCAGATTTGTCAACTTAAACGGTATTGCCGACCTTGCCAGATTAATGGTGGCAACAAGAAAGCATCTTTCTCATCCTTTAGTCTACCGGTTATTGAAACTAACACTGGTTTTTGCCTGTTGCAACTGCTACGGTTGAAAGATGCTTTTCGGCGATGAAGCTTGTCAAGACAGATTTACGTAATCGAATTGGTGATGATTTTTTGAATTCTGCCCTCATTTGCGCCATAGAAAAGGAAGCCCTTAGTAATGTTAAAAACGAAGATGTCATCGATCGTTTCCAAAAGATGAAGACACGCCGATGACAAATTTAGGAGTTCTTTCTCAACATATTTTTTGTAATTATTTTTGGGTATATATTGACCGTTTTCAAAAGATGAAGACGCGTCGGGTACAAGTTTAGGAGTTGTTTATCGGTACTAAAAAAACCATATTTTTTGTAATTATTTTTAGATATATATTATATTATATTAATTATATGGTGCCACCGTATGAAAAATTTTCTAGGTCCGTCCTTGAAATGCGGTGACTCCAGACAATCTGTAAAGCAGGTGGCCGCCCTGGGATTAGTCGGCTCGCATAACGGGTTGGATATACATGTTAATAAAAAAATGTCATATTTTTATTTTAGTTTGTTGCAAAATAAATGTCCCTTTTTACCCTTAATCATGAAAGAGAGAGAATTTATCTTTTTATTATCATGGGAAAAGTATTATTTAGTTAATTAAAAAAATGTAACGGTTACACATTTCTAAAATATGCGACATTTTTGTCGTGAAGATTTATTTCGGGACAAAAACATTAATATGCAAAAGAACATGAGACAAAAAGACTAATGGTTCGTTTACCAAATACTTACCCGGTAAGCGTTTACCGGTAAAATTTAACACTATTATTTACTTACCGGGTAAGATTTTAATCCACCAAAACGGCATTGTATGCAACAGTTTACTCTGTAAGCTCTTACCGTGGTAAGAGTCGTCGCCCTCACTTATTGGGTAAGACTATTGGTCCTTGTCTCACTCTTACCGGGTAAGATTCTTGGCACTTTCCCTTATCATACTTATCCAGTAAGGTAATTTGACTTGGTGTTCGTTTACCTGAGTAAGCGTTTGGTAAATGCACACCTTTAAATGTTTGGTGAGGTGAATGTTTCTATAAGTTTTTTATAATTGTTACTTTTGAAATTGAGGATTCAAATACAATTTAAATATTATATTTACTTGAAAAACAACTTAGAAAACTTTAAAAAAAATCTTTAAAAACTTGTATTATAATTTGTAAAAACATGAAAAATTGGTTTTATGCATAACCGGTCGAGGCCTTGTAACGAGTCTCGGGCCAGACCTTGAATATCCGTTAAATTCGTAATCAGTCTCGAAATGTCGAGCCATTGTCAGTCTTTACTGGTCCCGACCCACTTTGACCAGACTAATGCCAGTCAAAATTCTTTGAGTAGATCGCATCGCAGGCTCTGTGGTATACTCAAAATCTGGATATAGTTCATCTTTCAAAATAAGTACATCAAACGTCCTTGTAATTTGCATTTCATTGCGTTATGGGTTCCTATCTTAACAAAGCTAGCTCCACTAAGAGAAAAACAGATTTCAAAGCTATGATACTAACTTGGATTGTTAGTATATTACAGGTCATGGCGTCCAAAACTGGAAATTACGATTGCTTTTGTTTCCACCATTCCAATACTTTCAAAATCATCGACATTCGAAATTACGACAACTATACTCAATGACACATTATGTTGTCATTTTCCCTGTTCAAATTTGCATCGAATGCTCATATTCCACCTTTTCTATCATGTACAGGTTGATTCAAATCACCTTCTTTCGACTTCAACCCTGAACGTATTTTCAGTGTGACGTCTCAAATTGAATTTTCTTCGACTCCCTCTGTGAATTTCAAATCTCGGAATTTCGTTCGTGTTTGACGAGAACTTGGGCAATAGGATCGTTGGCTGAATCATCAAACGTCACAGGTACTCCGGTAACATAAGAAACCATCTTCTAAGTAATAACACAAAAACGAGAGGAATAGAACTCAAGTAGGAGTTGTTAAAAAACCAATATCAAGCACGAGCCACAATCACAAATCATAGCAAAAATTGTGAACGTTTTTTCTGTGTTTGTTAGTTTGGTATCTTTTCACATACACCATATGACTTATATATAGTTCATATGGGTTAAAAAGGGATAAAAACGACCAAAAACTTAAAATACGGGTAAAAAACGGCAACTTTTTTAAAAATTTAGACTTGGTTGCAACCGGTCCCAGTCCCATAACTGGTCTTGGGCCGGGGCTATGTTTTATGCTCAATATCATAACAGGGTCGGGGCTAACGATCAATAACCAATCCTTACGGTCTCGATCTTACGCTGGTTCCGAGCCGGGATATGCCCATTTAACTAGTGATGGCCAAACTGGCCCGGGACCGTTAAAGACCGGTTATAGGACCAAAATCTGAGACTAGTTATGGATTTGGGGTGTTTCGCGGGACCGGGACCGGTTATGGACTGGCCCGACCCGGCCCGATTTTTAAAAAAATGTAGCTATATATATATATATATATATATAAATGTAGCCGTTATTTTTAAAAAAACTAGCCGTTTTTGGCCCTTTTTTTGTTTTTTTTGCTCTCTAAACACTATATATAAGTGTCTTGGTTGAGGGATTTACATATCAAGTTCTCGATTCGCAAAAAACGCAAAAAAACGTTCACAATTATCGGTTTCTCGCTATATTTTGTAAGACAATGTAATAAAACGCATTTTTAAAGTGTATTTTAGTGACCTAATTACAAATTTTATAATTTATTAAAATATATATATCATTAAAAAATAAAAACAAAAATATATTTTTTAATGACCGGGACCGGCAGCCCATAACCGGTTACAATAAAGCTTGACCGAGTTCAACGTTTTCGACCAGGACCAGTTATGGCCGATTATGTGAAAACTTGAGACTGGTTGGGACCGGGCCAACCCGACTCGAGACCGGTTTTTTCCCATCACTACATTTAACCCATCTCTACTGTCTAATTTACTCAAATTATTTAGAGCAAATAGGCTATTTTTGCCCCTACTTTAGAAAATGTCAATGGTAAAGCCCATACTTGTATTGGGTAAGGCCCATATCATATTTTTCTAAATGGGCCTTGTTAAGCAAAAGCATGAAGTCCATTGGCTAGGCCCATATTTCTTATATCATCTTCAACCCCTTTTCAACTGCACACAGTCAGTCCTTCAGAAATGGCGATGGTTCCCAACTGCCGGAGCTTCATTCTTGCTCCTGTTTCAATGCTACGAACACTAGCAGCGGCCACCAGCCACCGTCACAAAAGCACCAGTTTTTGCTGCTCAATTTGGAATTCCGACTTCAATTTTCATAAGAAAAACAGTAGCAGAGCATTCTCATCTGATTCAGCGGCCTCTCTAGCTGTTACTTCAACTCCTTCTTCTCCCAATTCTATGCGGTACTCCATCTCCTTTCCTTTCCCCCTGTATATTTTTCAAACACACATTAAGAGCACATATGTGCTACTGGCTAGGTCGTATTCTATATTTATTTGTACACAACCTGTATGAAAATTCTACAAAGCACGTAACAGATTGAGACATAGATGTGGATGTAGAAGTAAATTATATGCATTTTCTACCAAACTTGATACCAACATTTTTTCTGGTTGCAATGTTGGTTACAAGTTTCAATGTCTACCTTAATCAAAATTGCAGGGAAAGTTTACATGATTCACGTCTATTTGAAGATAAAAGTTAGTCTGTTGACCTCAGAAGGGAAACGGTGCTCATTTTAAGTTTTGAAAGGATGTTCGTTTCACCTACACTTGACTTCTTTACTGTTTATTCGAGAGTGATAAAAGACATAGCTTTGATGTACCTTTTAGGTAAGCTAGCAAAAGGGTATTTCGCTGATACTCGGAAGAAGTTCATCCTTAACTCGTCGCAATGCTTAGAACTCGGAAAAATGTCAAATTCTTCATCCGGTTCATCGGTTGTAATGACACATTCAGACGTTATATTTTAGGGTTAGTACAATGTAATTGATTGAATATTCAGACAATGTGGATACTGCAAAGAGGATTGATTGAACGTCTTAAGAGTCATAGCATGGAGGTGTACTGTAATTTATATTGCAATAGAGATTCACAACTGGTGGAAGTATCCACATTATATGAGTTGCAGGGCCGGCCCTGAGATTTTGGATGCCCACGGAAGAAAATTTCAAAAAATGCCCCTTATATATAACAAAAATGATGTAACGAGGGGGGGGGGGACATAAACCAAAACCCGTGTAACAAAATATAAAGTACATCACCATTCACCTAAAACGATGTCTTCTTGCGAGCAAAAATATCTATCACATCGTCATAACTAATATTAGCTAAAAACATACTCTCAATACTCAAGATCGCTAACCCGTTCAATCTTTCTTGACTCATGGTAGACCGTAGATATGACTTCAACAACTTTTAACTTTGAAAAGCTTCTTTCCGCAGATGCTACGGTGACTGGTACGGTCAATCAGGGCCGGCCCTTGCCATAGGCCCAGGGGTGACGGCCCAGGGCAGCACCTGGTCTAAGGGCATCAAAATTTTTAAAGCCCAATGTATTATATAGGTTCAGTTTCATTTGGGCCAAAAAAAGAATTACCGTAAGTCCAGCCGGCAGTCCATGCATCCATCATCGACTCTTGCTCGCCTTGCCTACGGCCTACCTCGCTCACAGCTAATTCACTCTCAATCGCAAACGGCAATGGCAAACGCTCTCACCGACTCACTCTCAATCGCAATCGCAATCGCAAACGCAAACAACGCTCTCGCTCTCTCTCTGCCTGACTACTAGTGACTGCCTCTCTCGAGTTCGAGTCTCGACTATTGACTCAGACTCCGTCCCGACTAGCCGACTGCCATCGCCCGTCGCCCGTCGGTCTGCGGCTGCGTGTCGGCTGCCGGCGTCTCTACTCTCTCGTGACTCGTCGCTCTCTACGGGCTTGCGGCTCTGTGCCTCTGTCACTCTCTCCGTCTCTCGTCGCTCTCTACTCTCTAGAAACAGACTCCTGAGTACTGCACCTACTGCTGTTGTTGTGACTTGTGAGGTCTATGAAACTTAACTTAGAGTTAGGGTTATTAACTTATTTTATATTTTTATTACTTATTTACTTTACTTATTAAGTTATTTTATGTTTTAATTTTCTAATTCTTGATTGCAAAACATAATAATGAACATAAGCTATGAATTTGGTCACTTTCACTTCCTCTTTAGAAATTAGGGATGTTTACTCTTTAGAAATTAGGACTGTGATTGTGAAATTGATGCTTATGTTTGATTGTTTTCTCTTTTATCAATTTGTCCAGGTTGCTTAATCGGTCCACTTTCTTGGCAATTTCACAATCACGAACCACGAAGGACCAAATCCAGGTGTTATCTTTCTATTTATATGGTATCATTTGTTTAACAATTTAACTACTTAAGTTATGTTGCCTCGATCACAACCATCGGGTGCTCAAAATAGGAAAAGAAAGAAAAGGCAAGAAGAAATTGCTCAATCTTTGCAAGGATCTTTAAATAAGTTTATTGTTAGACAACCAAATGTTTCTGAAAATACTAGTGATAAAAATGAAAATGCGTGTGATACAAATGCTTGTGATGCAAATGCTTGTGATACAAATGCTTGTGATACAAATGCTTTTGATGCAAATGCTTGTGATACAAATGCTTTTGATGCAAATACTTGTGATACAAATGCTTTTGATGCAAATGCTTGTGTACAAATGCGTGTGATGCAAATGCGTGTGATGCAAATGCTTGTGATACAAATGCTTTTGATGCTTCTAGTGATGTTCGTTTGAATATATTTGATCCAAGAATTTGGGATATGTTAAATTCTAAAATGAAAGATTTGCTTGTTGAAAAAGGGCCTATTAGGGAAACTAACATCAATTTCCCCAGAGATAATATAGGTAGACGCTTCTCTGATGAATTTTATGTTCGTAAGTTACGCAATGGTGATTGTCATGATAGAAAGTGGTTAGTTTATTCAAAAGAGCTAGATATGTGGAAACATCTCCATTTTCTTTGCGAACTCCATAATTTGTATTGATGTCCAAGAATTGCTACTTTTAGATGCCTCTTCTGGTAGCATTCCCTGCAAAACTTGTAACTCCATAAACAAATATTCGCCATCAATATCAGAATCATTRCCATTTGTTAAAGCAAGTTCAAGGTTCAAACAACATTTTTTTAACTCGTCATCATGTAAAGTAACCAAATTTCGCCCATCTAACAAGAAACCAAACATAGATTCAAATTCTTGCATTTGTTCAAATCTGGTTCGTAACTGCAAAAGAGCCATATCAACTAAAGCAAGAAAATAATCAGTTCTAAATGTCTCTTGAGCGGATTGTTGTTCTCTCTCCATATTTGGAATTTCATCAAATTGTTTTTTCCTTGAGAAAAAAATGTTTTACAGCAAACTCAGGTTCAATTTCAATATTACTTGCAATCTCTTTAGCTTCACGAATGGCACATGTAAACCCATTTTCCCTATATTTTTCAAAATATTCAACTAATCCCTTTAGATTTTGTATTGCAACATCAAGAAGCATATCTTTAGACTGTAACTTCTTGCTMACTAAATTAATTCTATACAGAATTTCATGCCAAATAACCAAACTTACAATAAACTCAAAACTTGAAAGCTCACCATTAACCAAAGACTCGGCTTCCCTACACACT